GATGCAAGGATGAAGGATCCGACTCAGATATAACGTGTCGTGTCGACATAGACACTTCAGCCTCCAGTGGCGAGTTCAGGTAACACAGTATATATATATATATATATCTTTTAGGGACTGTACATCCCAACCTTCTAGGGTGACTTCCTTAAAAGGCCATACTCTCATAACATATAAACTTTTTAGGAGTTCTCACTTGGGTTGTACCCCAATTAACGTAGAAAGATTCTTTCAAAACCACAACCTGTACAATTCGTGATACCGATGCCTCTCAATTTCACTTCTTGTCGCCTAAGGTTCATACTTGTCTTTATTTCAAAATTTCAAGAAATCTTAAATAATTTCCACTTCATTTCAATCAATAAGTATGTACTACAATTTTTCAAACACAATAATTATTTTTCACAAATCATGATCAAAATAAATTACTGAAAAAAAATCTAAAATATATTCAATAACACATATATAATTTTTTTTTAATTTATCATAGGCATGTCTTACATCTCAATATTTAATTAGTCAATAATTATATTGATGATGATCTAAAACCATATATTCAACAACTCAAATTAACAGACAATAATGAAAAAAAAAAAAATTATGCATGAAAATTTAACAGGATAAGTATATATAATTTAGAGAACAAAAGACCATTTATAAAATTCTTTTGCATTGGAAATTGATGTTTTCATCCTTATTTCCTTTGTTTTTCTAGAGGGTATGCCCTGTTCTCTTTTGTACCTTGATACTCTAGAATAGTGAATTCCTTACCTCAGAAGTCCTATGAAAATCCCAGCAAGATTTTTCTTCCCTCTCTTTTTTTTTTTTTTTTTTTTTCTCCTGAACCCCCCTCCCCCCAAATATTTACTCCTTTAGGTTACTATTCTTTTTTATTCCATTTTGGTTCACAATTTGCTTCCTTGTCTTCTGTTCTCTCTTTTTGATTTTATTTTATTGTCACTCACTCTCTCATTAAGTCGGTTTGGCTAACTCTTCTCTAACAAGCATCATGCATATATTATAATATCACACACACACACCCACACACACACACACATGTCATTATATTACATACACGCATGTCTAATAGTTATGGAGGTCTCCGCTTGTACATTCATAATGAATATTTTAATAAATCTTCATAATCTTCCATACTTACAATCACGGAACTTGTGTTCTTTTTTTATCATAAGTGGCAAATTTCATTTTATTGATAATGCCAGACCTCTTTGTTTTTAACACCTCAGCTTTACATATTTTCTACAATCACTAACCACATCATTGCTTTCTTTTAATCCCCTAAACTTTTAAATTTTCTACACATCATTGCTTTCTTTTAATTCCCTAAACTTTTATATTTTCTACTTTTTACCACCACTAATCTATTCCTTCGTCGCCTATGAGTCCTTTATTTGCAATAGTTTATCATTTCCACCACAATTGATTGCTTTTATCTCTTCCTTTTTAATTCCACTGTTTTCTTCATTCTACTTGTTATCCAAATCCACTTGAACTTATAAATTTCAGCCAAACACAATAATTTTCCTTTCAGTCCCAAATATAAAAAAATATGATGTTTGGGTTAACTAATAAATTTTATTAAATACTGTGACATATATTGACGTTTCTAAAATTTGTATACTTATCTTTCTCACTAGGTTTAATTAAACTCTTTATTCAATTTTAATAGATTTCAAATTTACAAATTAACTAAGAACCTCATGCTATCAAGTAAACCATTTGTATTGAAATTCAGAATATTACGTCAATTCTTCAATCAGAATAATAATTGGTATGGTGTGGAAATATAAGAGTGCTTAAACAAACTTTATGACATTAAGTAGTACAAAAATATATTGAGTTTATGCTAGGAAAATAAACAAAAAGGTTACTCTTTACTCAGGCAATTGATAGGAACTATGTTATGTATCTGTGTCTTACATCCCTAATTGCAAATTTTAGGATACGGGGACTCAGCTTGGAATGTGTCCAAAACTTAGATACGGGTATGTGTACACGTTTTGCATACTTCTCTACTTAAAAGTGTAATGTATCATAATATTAATTTTTAAAATACTCAATATTAATTTAAATCAAATGAAACAAAATGGGAAATAATTATAAAAGAAGAAAGATTCCACCTATCTCATAAGTAGGGAACACTTATTCACTATCAAAATTGAGCAACTTTTCTTCTTCTGTCATCATAATTAAAGGATCTAGGTGTCCGATTTGGGTACTTGTATCAAACACATATTTCATACTCATGTCCATGTCATGTCGTGTTGACAAAGAACATTGAGATAAATAGGAGAGTCCAGGTAACTGAGGATAGGAATGTTTATTGAAAAGAAGGAAGAATTGCATATGGTTCTTATTGGCTTGAAAAAAATAATAAGATGGAATCTCTAGGTAGATAGTGCGTTTGACACAATTGGGAGAGTTCTTATGCAGTCCTCTTATTTGCAGATGATCTCATTGTCAGGATCCACCTCACACTGACTGCAGAAATTGTCTGACCCTTTTGGCGTTACTGGTTTTAAAATTTGTCTACGCATATAGGAGGCATCCCCAGTTATAAATGCCAACAACTTTTCCCCCCAAGCAATGCAGGACGTCAGAATCATTGCTTTCTATTTTCAAATGTGGATTGGTGAGAATGAGACATTTTAAGGTGCTTGTTTTATATATTGAAGCATGAGGTTAAATGAGAGTTTAGGAAAGAGCGGATTGATTCTGGCAGTGAATTGGTGGAATCCTGAGATGAGATGGGCTGGTTGAAAGAGACAGTAGACTCAAAAGGGTTGACTCACTTTCACTAAACCCTTCTAGCTTGAGAAGATATTTATGTCCCATTTCCTATCCCAACTTTAATTGAGAGAAGGCTAAAGAAGCTCCATACGGAATTTCATGGGTATCAATGGTCTTGCTGATGAGTTTATGTATCATTTAGTAGATTTGAAACAATTTGTTCCCAATCAAGTTAGAAAGATGTACAACTGGGTAGAAGGTGAGAGATGGTCGGAGCATTGATCAATCTACTTGTAATGGATAAGTGTGTCAATGTAGCATATACTACCTCTATCCCATATTAGTAGTCCATTTTCCTTTTTATGGATGTCCCAAATTAGTTGTCATTTGAAAAGTCAAAGAAAAATATATCTATCTTTCCATGATTACCCTTTAAGTTTTCTAAATTCTTACAATTTGATAATGTACAAATTTAAACATAAAAGGACAATGCGTTAATTGCATGTCCCTTTAAAAACTTATAATACCAAAGGTGGACATCTAATATGGGACGAAGGGAGTAGCATACCATCTCAAGATCACAGAGGGAGGGTGGTTTGGAATCTCCTGCCTAGTAGGGTGTGCAGGACTGGCAGTAGAGTTGTTGGAGGCTTTCTTTTTATTTATTTTATTTACCTCTTTCTTCTTGTTTAAGTGGGGAGAGGGACTTGAGGATTCAACCTGATGGGTGGCCACAAAGAGCGGTGAATTAAAGGTGCTGTTGTTATGTAGGGTGTTGATTGCTGGGGGTCCCTAATTTACCTTTGCTACGCTATTTGGTGCACCTGGCCAGAAAAGACTTTGACAATCAATAATATTGTGAGGAGCTGTTAAGTCCTCCTGAATTGGTGCTGTATGTGAAAAACTTAAATGCAGAATTAGTGAACTACTTATTGATCCACTGCTTGGTAGCTATGGACTTGTGGGCACTTTCTTATTCCTTTTTGGGGTACACTAGATTATGCCTTCCTCTGCTTTAACCTTTAAGTAGTTGGGGCATGAAGGGGCCCCAGGGGGTAGGGGGATTGAGCAGGAGGTGGCACCTTACGCTTGTGGTGGTGTATTTGGTGAAACAAGCATTACTTTAAAGGGACAAAATTTTCTCTTTTATAGCGTAAAGATATAGTTGAGTACAGTTCTTTTTTGCGCCTTGTTCTCTTGGCAACTAGGGGCAGTAGGAGTGGGGTCAATTTTTGAGATGAAGGTGGAGTACACATGAAGACATGCGCTCTTTGAAGACCTAATGGAGCTGTTTTTATGATTTTGAATCATGCATGATTGAGGGTGATATGAATATCGAGTTGCAAACCGTGGGATTTTGAGATTGCAATCTGTTGGATTGTGGTTACAACCACCTTAAGAGGGATATTTCTGACTTATATGATTCTTTAGAGTTGATGTGTGTTGAATCCCTGGTTGGCCAATGAGAACAGATTTTCTTGCTGACATGGAGCAATTCTATTTCCTATATTAGTGATTGTTTCTACCCTCCTTCAAAGTTTGTGGGGCAGGTTTTGTTGCATCTTCTGATAGTAGTAGTAGTAGTTGTTGTTGTTCTTCTTCTTCTTCTTTTATTTATTTATTTATTTATTTATTATTATTATTATTATTATTATTTTTTCTGTGTGTTTGGTACTGTTATTGATTTTGTTTTGTGAACTTAAAAGGGATTCTTATCCATCATTGTGTACATTATTTTTTCTTCTATGCGGGTTCTAACTAAAAGTTTCAACTTAATTCTAATTGCTTTTGGAAATGTATGGGCCAAAATACTTGACTTTGTCTTGCATGTGGAGCCAAATGTAATGGAATCCAAAGTTGAAAGTTTACATTTGAGGTCCATATGAATAAATTTAGGTGCCTTTTAGATTTACATTCATGTATAGTTTAAGGGCAGATCATGACGGACCCAAGCCCAAGTATGAAATGCTTATTCTTCAATTCGTTCTATGATGAATATGTAGAATAGTATATCCGCTAGTAGCTAGTCTGAATTTCTGCAGCTTTCTGCGCCTTGCTTTATGATTATTTTACTTTTTATCCCGGACATTACACACATGCAAACCTATCATAGTCTGTTGCTCAGTGTTAATGTCATCCTGATAGTATTTATTCAGTACGTTTTGCAACATTTAATATCGGAAGACTATAATCTTAGGATAAAATCAACAAGTTCAGAGAACTGACAATAATGTATCCTTCGTGTGCAGGTTCATCAACTGCTATTTTGAGTCGCAAGTTTGTTGATTTCTGCATCTTGGGTACAGACAACCTTCCGAGGACTCTACTCTTATACCTAGCAAACACGCCTTCGTCTCATTCTGTTTACTTCCCTACCATTTTATGTAATTCTCGACAGTTCAATAGAACAATTGTAAACCACGGTCTGCAGTTTTCTTCCTTTGACACCAAACAGAAGCCCCTCCATCTCAACTCCAATGACTTTGATGACCTGATCAAGAGCGGAGTGGCTTTTGCCTCGCCATTTCTCCCAGATGACCCAGTGCTTAACCGCATTGACCAAGAAGTTTTGGGCCGTGGTCCTGGAAAACCAGTGCCTGGGGGTTGGTGTTTAGGTGAACCAGGTAATGAGACGTGCACTGTTTGGGGAGATGCTGATATATTGAGGCCTGGACCTGGGGCAAAAAGGCTTGAAAAGCGTGTTTTTGCATTACTCTCGAATGGGACATTTCAGTCTCATCAATGTGCAATTAACTGATTCCCCTCAAGACCAAAAGGGGGGACACAAATTAAAAGAGGGGATGAAAAAAAAGAAAGAAATCACTGCTTTTCAATGTGATTTTAGGTGATCTCCCCTTTCAAAACCAGAAGAGGGGGAGGGGGAGGGGGAGGGGGAGGAGAAAGAAGGGCAAAGAATGACCTGCCACAAGTTGCCCATTAACCATTTCGATTTTGAAAATTTGTTACCTATTAACTTTATAACTTGTAATTGTTGTATTATTAGTATTATTTTTTCATCGGCAAGAAACTCACACGCCCATTTGTCCTATTGGACTTTAAACCCGCACCTTTTCATTTTGAAAGGCAGAAGAGATACCACAATGAGGGCTTTGGTTGTAATTGTTTTATCATTACAAATTGAAGTGGAGTTTGTTGCAAATTGAATTGTGGTTAATTAAGAATATATTGGTTTTTTTTCCTTCTGTACTTCACTTGTCTTTTTGTGTAAACATGGATGTCATGTTCTTGAGATTTTCATGATCAGTGGAATTGTATCTCCTTTGTTACATATGCATGGCCCATCTCTTGGATTTTGTGTCTCAAAGTTCTATCGTGGCAGAAAATTGATTGTAGATTGAGCATTTGGTAGACTAGTTTCTGTTTTTCTAGTGATGTCTTGGTTAAATATGTGTCAAATTTACAGTTTATCAATGAAATTGGCAGGCCTAATGTTAAAATTGTACTCCTGATCCAACAACTTACCATACATCAAATTACCTTCTAGGACTCTTCTATAATGGCTTTGAACGTATAAGTTGAGCCTTTAGTGATCCGTGTAAGTCGTCTTTTTTATTTTTTATTTTGCAATAACTTAGATGCAATTGTGAGGTCTAATCATGATGATAATTCGGTAAATTAGGTATCCGATATCGAGACTCATTCATGTAAAAAGGGTCAATTCTCTTGAAAAATCACATTAGGACAGTGGTTATTATGGAACCAGCTGTTACTCTGATCAAAATATTGTTACCGCCTTGAGTCGATTGATTCTCTTAGTATCAACTAGTTCATGTGTGAAGGGACAGGTGCCGCATTGAATTGGGAATTTTGTATATAATTTTGTAATATTTTATACAATGCCCCCAAAAATTCTCTTTTTCTAAAAATCTCAATAATTCTTTCTTATTTTTTCTTTTACTCTTTTTCTTTTTCAAATTTCTTCGATTATCTTCAAGAAAATTTGCAATCTCCATCTTCAATAAAACCCTTTTTTATCCCTTCAAGGTTCTTTCATATGCACCACCCAACCCATATATGTCAATCACATTAGGACAATGATTCTTATGGAACTATCCGTTACTTTAATCAAAATAATTGTTACCGCCTTGAGTCGACCGGTGTGAAGGGACAGGTGTCCCATTGAATTGGGAATTTGGTATATAATTTTGTAATATTTAATAAAATGGACCCTAAAATTCTCTTTTTATAAAAATCTCTGTAATTCTTTCTTATTTTTTCTTTTTCAAATTTCTTTGATTATCTTCAAGAAATTTTGCAGTCTCCATCTTCAATAAAATCATTTTTTATCCCTTAGAAAATTTTTTCAATACAACAATAAACATCCATCAATGGATGGATAAACAAATCAGAGCTCACTCTAGAATAATAGATGATGCAAGTGATGAAAGCTTAACTTTACACCAAGAAGGTTTGAATGCTCGGTACGTTTTTAAAAAGGTAAATTATGCAGACACCTTTTGAGATTAGATTATATTTTACTTAGATGAACATTGTAGTTTTAATTTTTACTTACATTCTAATTTAAATAGGTTCTAATTTAGTAAATAGTCAGATAATGAAAATAGATATTACACGACTCTTTTGTCAAAAACTTATTTTCCATTTTGCCCATAAAACTGTCTAAATCAAATCATATAAACGTTTAAGTTGCTTGTGAATATAAATTTGAAATTTCTAAAAGCCAAAGTGACTTTCACTAAGTTAATTGACTATTTTGCAGTCAATTATACGTTAAAGACCTCAAGATAATATTTTCAATTCAATGGTTAGGTCCTAGATTCCTTTAGGACTAGTTTGGTGTGGTGGAATGAATTAGAATAGAATGAGAATGGAGGTGGGAATGGAATGAGAATAAAATGGAATGGAATGGTCATTCCTTTTGTTTGAAGGTGAAATGTTTTTGATGAAATGACCATTCTTCAAGAATAGTTGGGAATGATGATTCTAATTTTAAAATTGGTACTAAACACGAGAATGGAAAAAAAATCATCCCATTTCATTTTCTTTTTTTTCATTCCACCGCACCAAACTAGCCCTAAACTAAAGTTTGCAAATTCAATGTATCAAATGTTACTTTACAAAACTCTTAGCAATCACCATAAGCCTATGACACCCATGGTCTTGACCTTGATCTTTAATGATTTTGAGTTTTATCCTAAGTCACACAATCATTTTAAATAGGTGTTATTTTCACGTTTCGAGTGTGCTTTCGCTCTCACATTTTGCTAGCGCTTTTACTCAAATTCTTACTGTTTATGACTTAATTCTGCTGCTTCCGCTTCCACTCCCACTTTTGCTTTTGCTCCCGCTCTCACTCTCGCTTCCGCTTTATGTAACTTAGGTTCCATCGTCATGATTCATTTGAGCTTTGTCTTTAAATTTTAATAAAAATATGAAATTAATCGCACTCAAGTGGATTGCTAAATTCTCACAATAATTGATTATTATCTTTAAACTTACCGAAATGTCCTTGGGTTGAAACTTTGGGATTAACAGAAAGGTATGTGATATACATGTTTTAAAGATAATAGTGATTTCTTCTAGAAAGATACAAGATAAAATTATAAATGAATACATTCATCATTAAATGGTTGAAGTAGTAATAATTAAAGATTAAATAAAAGAAAATCGATAAAGATGATTTAAGTTTATATTAAGGGTAAGAGGAAAAAAATAAGAAAAAGAATAGTCAATGTGGGTAAAGTTAATAAGAAATCTTATAGTAAAACATCATTCATTTCATTGAGATTGTAGCTTTCAATAGAACCAAATGAAAAATAGGATTCACAGGATTCACGAGCACACTCGAGTAGTTTAGAAAAAGTTTTTGTTAGGGTTGATGTATAATTTATTATTTTTATTAAATTATTTTAAACAAAACAAGTGTTTTTATTAAAAAGACTTTCATAAACTTTTAATATTTCGTTATACCTGTCATTAACTAATTTTATTAAAAATCACATAAATAGAAGTTTGTTTGTTTGTATTTATTTATTTTTATTTTTTTTAGTTTGGTATTTACACACACCATTTTTATTGAGACTTGAATTCTTAACTTCTTTTTAAAAGATAAGAGATAGATATCGTTGGATCACTAACCAATTAATGAAATATTTTATTATATTTTAGTATATTTTACATGTCAATTTTTAATAAATTAATAATATTATATCATCACTACAAAACACGCGCGCGCACACACACACACAATAAATGTTTTTCTTGTGTTTCTATTACCACTATTTAGTCATCAAATGATCTTATGACTCAAATCCCAAGTTAGGGTCAAGAACTCTGACGTATTACCTAGAAAATAGAAAGTGCAAGTCACTTCAGAATTTTATACTGGTGGATTATTAAGGCATTTTCAAAGACTTAAATGGTTAGCAATCCAGCTTTGATTAAAACAAATTTTAAGCTATATATATATATATATATATATATACACACACACACGATCGAGATTTAGATAACACCAATTTAAGTTTAACGAAGGTGCGTTGTGCCTTCTTAGAACTCTGAGCGTTGACCAAGCCGTCAACTCTAGCCAGCTCTCAAATCTCTTTTAATCCTTGTTAATAATTATAATAGTATACTGTAATTAATTAGTGTTGGATTATGGAATAGATTCTAGAAACGAGGTTATTTTCTATAAAAAAAATTAAGATTCAAGGTAAATTATAAATCTTCATGTGCACTGGAAGTAGAAATGAAAAATCTCAACTATTCAAAAGTTCTAGGTAATTTGATAAGTTAAGAATTTGAGTGATTTATGAGCGTTTCTTGTTGATTTGATGATTTATGCTGTGTTTGGTTGGAGGGTAGGATTAAGGAGGAATGAATGATTTTTTTTTATATTTGGTTGGAGGAAAAAGAAGAGGGGGGAAACTGTTGGAACCAAAATATTGAAATGGGGAATATCGAGGTTTAGAGGCGCATATCAAATCTGTATGTTCATGAAGGTTGCACTTCTCATCGTGAATTTGTGTATTTATTTCCGTCCGATTTGTTTCGCACGCTTTCGCTGCCCAACAAATTGGTATCACAGCCAAAGGTGAAGGAAATCTAGAAAACACAAGAAGTCTTAATATGTGTTACAACAGGCTTAAGTTGTAGGTGGAGTCAATAGGATTAATTGCATGGCATGGAGCTTGAGTAATCAAGGTGAAGTCTTGGAGGTTGACTGATCGAGTAGCATAAAGTGTGGACAATCGGAATTTTATAGAAAAATCGTCAAGATTGAAGTTGCAAAAGAATTGTTTGATCAATGCCGTGGAAGCGATATTGACGGGATGAAATTTTATATATGAAACTAAGTCAATACAAAGTCAAAAGGGTAATATAGTCATTTTACACTTAAAAGTACTTTGACATTACTAGAAACTGACATTTGAGGTGTAAGTAAAATAGAGAATCATTCTTTGAAATATGAGTGAAAGTTAAAATCAAAATGTTAAAGTATAACTTAACCTTAAGTGGTGTCTATGCATGTAATTTACCCTTTTAAAAAGTACTCTTTCTATTTATAGCTTCCAAAAGTTATCAATTTTTTTTTGGAAAATGTGACCAGGCTTCATTCCTATGTTCTTGAATTGGGCCCTAGGAATGATCGAATATTGATTAAAAGGGGTGTTCACAACTAGAAGCGTTGGTTAAGGGATTCTCACTTCCAATAAATAACAAGATTCTACAATGTCTGTAAGAATCGTGTAGACGTCTATGAGAATTTTTTTTAAAAAAATTGCTCAATTTTAGTAAATGGTCAGATAATGAAAATAGAAATATGACCCTTTTGTCAAAAACTTATTTTCCATTTTGGCCATATAGCTGTCGAAATCAAATCATATAAACGTTTAAGTTGTTTGTGAATGTAAATTTGAAATTTCTAAAAGCCAAAGTGACTTTCACTAAGTTAATTGACTTTTTTTGCAGTCTTTAAAGACCTTAAGATAATATTTTCAATTCAATGGTTAGGTCTTAAATTCTTTATGCTATTTTTGACGTACAGAAATGGAATAAAATGGAATGCTCATTCTAATAATGAAATTCCCTATAGAATGACACGTAACATTAAAAACATATCTACTGTATTAAACTGTGTCAACTAATTTTAAGAAACTTTGAAAACTGTACCGTTTTGAAATAAGAAAAATTTACCAAAGTTTAAAAATTCTATCGTTTT